AGTCCACCCCACTCACCCCCCGAAATGCCATAGGACTCCTTCCTAAATGAAGGCCTAGTTTTCTCCTGAATGAAAGAGAGGGCAGTCCCTGCCATTCCTCTTCTGATCTCTTCTTTACCCAGAATGCCCCTCCTTATCGCCTCTTATCAGCCCCAGGAGAGGCCAGACTGATAAGGAGTTGGGAGGGGTTCCTCTTTCTTATCTCCTTGTTCTGAATTCCTTTCATCTCTGGAGACCCTCTGAACCAAGGAAGGAAGGATCTCTGGGGAAACCCAGGGTTTTTAGCCAAGGCTCCGCTCAGGTCTTGCAAAGCCATTCCTCTCCAATGCACTCTTCCTCACTTCCTTCTGCTTTCCTCTTTGGGGTTCTCATTTCCTGCCATGTTGACCTGGACTTCAATCCTATCCAAGAGACCTTGGGATCAACAGCACACCTCAGGTCTTGCAAAGCCACGGCTTTTGTGGAGTCTATCCAACTCTAATGCAGTCTTCCCTTTGTCCTTCCTCCTTCCTTCCTCTTTGGAGTTGGGAGTTGCTGCCATTTTGACTTCAGTCCTATCCAAGTGACCCTGTTCTCAGCAGCCCACCTCAGGTCTTGCAAAGTTATGGGTTTTGTGTCTCTACCTCTAATGCATTTCCTGTTGTCTTCCTCTTTCCAGTTGTGAGTTGCTGCCACATTGCCTTGGGCTTCTGGTGCCTCTCTCTATTCATGAGGGTCTCCAAGCCACACCTCAGGTCTTGCAAAGGCATGGCTTCTGTGGAGCCCCCCCACTTCTAAGGCAGTCTTCCTCATTTCCTATTACCTTCCTCTTTGCGATTGAGAGTCGCTGCCATTTTGCTTTGGACTTGAACCCTCTCCAAGAGACCTTGGGATCAACAGCTCACCTCAGGTCTTGCAAAGCCATGGCTTCTGTGGAGTCCATTCATCTCTAATGCAGTCTTCCTCTTCTTCTTTGCTGTGACTGGGAGTTGCTGCATGTTCATTGGGACATCTAGCACCCCTGTGCATGAAAGTCTTTGCACCCAGAGAAGGCTATGAAGGCCTTGCAGAACTACAAATCCCAG